GGCAGGATGAGGCAGTGCCAGCTGGCTTGTAGGGGGGCACCTGACTGACCTGTGTGCTCTTCTTTCTCCCCTGCAGCTGAAGCCGACTCCAGTGTGTTTGCCTCAAACTCCCTGCAGCGGAAGAAGAAGGGGCTGCTGCGGCCAGCGCACCACCGGGCCAAGCCGCATATCCTGATTGGACTGCCCCAGGACTTCCGGCAAATTTCCTCCATCATCGACGTGGACATCCTACCCGAGACGCACCGCCGCGTCCGCCTGCATAAGCATGGCTCTGACAAGCCACTGGGCTTCTACATCCGTGATGGCATCAGCGTCCGTGTGGCCCCCCAAGGTGTTGAGAAGGTCCCTGGCATCTTCATCTCCCGCCTGGTCAAGGGTGGCTTGGCTGAGAGCACAGGGCTGCTGGCTGTCAATGATGAGATCTTGGAGGTGAACGGCATTGACGTGGCCGGCAAGTCCCTGGACCAGGTGACGGACATGATGGTGGCTAACAGTCACAACCTCATCATCACTGTCAAGCCAGCCAACCAACGCAACAACGTCATCCGCAGCAGCAAGGCCTCCGGCAGCTCGGGCATGTCAACAGACAGCACACCCAGCCAGCAGACACCCAGCCCTGCCTCCCAGTACCTGAGCAACTACAGCACAGCTGAGGGTGAGAGTGACGAAGAAGGCGACCTCATTATTGAGAACGATAGTGCCCCCCACTACATCCCGGCCACCTGCCCCAATGGTGGCAGCCTCCTGGACAGGAGCTTTCAACAGAGCCTTTCCCTGAACAGCTCCCAGGGCTCGCTGCACTCCCTGAACAGTCACAATGGCAGCGGGGGCAGCCCAAGCCGGGGCAGCCACAGGGGCAGCCTGCGGGAGGATGGCACAGTCCTCACCCTATAGCCAGCAACCCACCAGGGGGGCTGACCTCCTGCACCGGCCAGGTATCTTGGAGCATTTCTGTATCAGGCCTCGACTGTGCCAGCCCCTTGCTAGGTGGGGCAAGACACAGAAGCAAGGGCACTGGGATGCCACCCAGGGCCCACACCTGCCCTCTTCTCGGGCATTAAGGTATGCTGGCACTTATTGGGACCTGCCAGGAGGGTGGTAGCTGGGACTAGGGCATGGGGGCCCAGCCCTGGCTCCCTGACCCCTCCCTACAGATGCTGCCCCTTCTCTGGAGCTTACCTTCCTCTTCCCCCTCTTTGGGGAACCAAAGTGGTGTTTCTTTGTCTTACTGGACACTGCCTGTGACAGCCATGCCCATGCTTCCCTCCCCCACCCCCCCATCCCCTTCCAATCAAGTGTTTTTTAATTGTTTTATGAGAATATGCATCACAAATTAATATATTGTAACAGGACATTAAACCTTTTCTAGGAAGTGCCATCTCTCGTCTCGTGCCAGGGCCTTGCCTGACACTGAGAGGTCCCCAAAGCAGGCTTCCAGGACACACACACGCCTACACCTGCACACAGCGCCGCCACACGCACAATGCAGCCTTCCAGGACACCCTGCTGGATGCACACCTTGCTGGGGTTATTTGACCTCTGCAGTCTTTCCTGCCTAAGAACAGCAGGGCTGGACCCAATGATGTCACAAGGTCCCTTCCAGCCCTAAACTTCTGTGAATCTGAGGGCAGAGCTACTGCCTCACCCCCAGCCCTCAGGATTAAGGTGGGGCAGGCAGAAGCAGGTACCCTCTGAGGCAGCCTGGCTCTGCCCTCCCAGACTGCTGCCCTGGCTGCTCGCATACACTGTAGCAGGGCCATGCTCATGGCACCCATGTGGGCTCCTCCCCACCCTGTGTAGCTCTCACAAGGTGCCAGGAGCAGGTTGGATGAACCACCCTGGCAGACTCTGGGTACAGCAAAGGGATCAAGCTGCCCCTGAGGATGCCAGCCACAGCCCAGGAAGCCTCCCCCCCAGAGACTTGGCTCCAACTTTCTGGGGCCAGCAGTGCCAACTCACATGCAGGGGCTGCCTCTTCTGTGGCCAGTGGACTGAGGCTAGTTGTTTCCTAGTTGCTCAAAGCTCTGAGGTTTGGGTCAGTCCAAAGCCTGCTCCTTATTTATCTGCCATGAAGCATGTCTCAGCTGCCTGGCTCCATTCCCACAGCTTGGGGCTGTCTCATCTGTCTGTCCCATAGGGCCCAGCCACCTCTGACTTGTCCTGTCCTTGCATCTCTAAACTGCAGCTCCCACAGCCCAGGCCTGAGGGAGAATGAGCTGGGCCACACATCTAGGACTGCTTTAAAAGGCTCCTAGGGGATACCTAGAGATGCCCCCACAAATACTCCACTGCCTTCCCCCAGGGGATAACTGCCAGTCCTCCTAGGCAGTGCCCTCCTCCACTTTAGTGTCCATCCCTGGCTGTATGAGTCCTTGTTAGCACCCTTCCACACCCCTCTCCCTGTGCAAACCCACCACTCACTAGACCAGTGGAACCAACCTTTTTGGCAGCTGTGCTACAAATTAGCGCTGCACCTTCTTGGAGTGCTACTCCAATCCCCTTCCCTGCCCAATCTGCTGCTTTGCCTTCTGCTCCCTGCCTAATGTGCTGCACTGCTTTCAGCCCTATCTGCTGCTGTGCTGCTTATCCCCTCCCTGAGCTGCTGTGTGCACACATGCAGAGGGTACTCATACCATGCATGCTGTAGGTTGGCCACACCTAGATGATGTCCTGGACAGTGTCCCATGGAGCTGCTCCTAACCATGTGCTGCCATCTGGACCCATCATCCATGCACATTCCTACTGCAGAAGGGTGTTCGGTGCTCTGCCTGGATCCAGATGCTAGCACAGCTGGCAAAGGCAGTACTTAGCTCCCTGGTGAAAAAAGATCCTGCACTCTCTCTGTGTGTGCAAGAGGAGCACCTGATTTGGCTGGAGAGCACCCAGGCTGGGCTCTGTGCCCCACATAAGAGCCCACTGGTGAGGCAGGGATCTGTGTGGGGATTCTTGCTGCCTCAAGATGCGTCTGTCACAGGCAAGACAGACAGTACATTCCCTTCATCCTCACTGCATCCCTGCCACAGGCCTGTGCACGAACAGGTTTAATGCTGAGCATGCAGCAGTGCCATGAGCTGCTCTGCCTGGGTGCAGGCTGTTCTGATGCAGTTTCTGCAGGCCCAGCTCACACACTGAAACCTAGGTCAACACTGCACGAGCCTCATAGCCCACTTCAAGGTGCTGAGTATGTATGAAACCACCACCCCCTTGCACTCGGTGTTCCTAGGTAAGGGCAGGGAGGGCAATGGACTCAGGTGCTGCTGGGTGCCAGGGACTCAAGTCAAGCAAGGCCTGGGAGCCAAGGCCTTAGTCTGCCAGCTCTGGGACAGGCCTGTCACTGCTCTGTGCATGTGCAGTGTCCAGTACAACAGGGACTTTGATCCAGGGCACAGCTCCTTGAAAGCAATGGTCATACAGATAAGGGTTAGGATTGTCCTGGGCTTCACCTTCCTGAAGAGAGGGGGCAGGGGGCCTGTCTGTCTGTCCATCCTACCTTGGACTAATGGGGCAGAGCAGGAAGCAAACTCAGCATGCCTTTCCTTGCACATGCACCAGGACAAGGCTGCTGTTCCAAGCGCACAGGGAAGCTGGCCGTGGCCTTCACAACCTGACCCTGCAGCACTGGAAAAGCAGGCATCAATAGCCAGTGGGCTCTGAAAGCTGCCATCCTGTGCCCAGGGAGGGAAAACTGGAACCAAGTAGCAGCACTAGCTGCTTTGACCTGGGCTGACAGCTCCTGCTCCATGGAGCCCCTGCTGTGAGCATGTGCCCCACCGGAGAGCAGGAGCTGCCTGTGCTGCCACACCCTGGCCTGGCCAAGCCCTAACTTCCTTCTGAAGGCTCCTGAAGGGCCAGGGAGCTGCTTAGCAAGGGAGGAGCAAGGATTTTTGATTCATGAAACCTCCATGATCCCATAAACTCCTTGTGCACTGGTGCCACAGAGATGCTAAGCAAGGACCTGCAGTGACAGGGAGAGCTGTGCTTCTCCAGGTCAGGGTTGGGCTTAGTCACACACTCCATGGCCTTCCTGTGAACCTGCCCCTGCAGGCACGACACAGATGCTGTGAACAGCAGACATCAATGGAGCTGAGGGGAGGTAGGTAGGTGTGTGGGGAATCAAAATTCAGCACAGCCCAGCCCCTGGGACATCTCCTACAAAGGTACCGTTGAACTTGCATCCTGGTGCCGTGCCCCATCCAGCAAATGGTCCACAGAGCCCACTCACATCCTAGCTATGTCCTTGGCATTAGGGGGGGGGGGGGGGGGCCCTCTACTGGGTGCAACATGAGCTACCCAGGTCCCTGTCCTGCCTGCATTTCCCAGAAAGGTTGCAGCCAGCTGGTACCATCAATCCTGTTCTGCAACAACCAGTCCCGATAGCTAGAGAAACCAGCTCTGTACTGCACACAGGCAGGGAATAGGCACCAGATACAGGCAGGCAATTCCCCCACAGACGCCAGAAGCAAATCTGGTTAATCCAGGCTTGGTTTATCCCAGTAGCAGGCAAGTCAGATCATTAACAATACTCAGGTGTCTGGTTATGAGGAGGAAGCAGCAACAGGCAAAGGCACTGACCCTTCTCAGCCACAGCTGGCTCTACTCTGCAGGAAAAGGGGTTGGGGGAATCTCAGGCCCCAGTGTAGTCATCTCCCTTCCCCTATGAGTCTGGATTTTCAGAGGAGCGTTGAGGCACTTTTGGTCCTGAGAACTTGTAGGACTCCATTCTTGTTCGTCAACAATGGGTCTGCCAAGGGGCTCCCAGGACTAGAACAGCCAGGAGCCACACGGCAGCGGCAGCCCCTCAAAGTCAAGGATGACGTCCGTCAGGCTCGAGTCCTCAGGTGACTGAGGAGCCTGATTCCGGATGCACAGGTTCTTCAGTAACGGGGGCATGTTGTTGCACGGGGGAGTGGGATTCGCAGCCCCGGGTTGGTCTCCTTCTTCCTCCGCCACCACCACTCTGCCTTGGTATCGAGTCGTTGGGCCTTGAAGTGGCACACACCTTGGTGGACCAAGTGGTGGCTCTATTACAGGATTTGCCTAACAGTAGGATGCATGGGCAGGACTAAAGAATCGGCAGGAATCAGAAATCACCTGTTATTTTCATACATTCCTCTTCCCCCTAGTCATCACTGAAGCACAGATGGGCACTTAAGGCACTGGCCTGATCTAGGGTTTGATTTTGCTTTGTCACTCATAACTTCGACTTACCCTGTCATAGGATCCTACCAACCCCTCCTGCAGGGCAGCCCATCCCTTTCCACAGGGGAATGCAGTGGAAGCCCAGGTCAGGCTCCACATCATGCCTACATCACATGCCACAGCTATAAGTAGTGGCTACCACAAGCCCGGTGTGAGGCTGGGACACTGCAAGGTGGTAGCATCTCTTGTCCTTCCAGGTGGTGGCCTTTGCTGCTTATTATTGTGATGGAGTCAGTGCCCTGTGGGCAGCACTCAGAAGGGCCTCCATAGCTGTGCCAGCCCCAGTCAAAGGCCCTGATCCTAGAATCCAGTTGACCCTGCTGCTCACAGAGGGTTTTGATCAAGACAGCGAGGACTCCTAGCATAAAGGCAGGATAATGCTTATCATATTTCAAGAAGGCTTATGTGTACTGACAAATCCTGATGCAGAGTTGCAGCAAACTGGAGCCTAGCACAGCACAAGGCAGCTGCTAATCCCTGGTACTGTCACCCCTCTACCCCTCCTGTTGTTACCTACCAATGTGCCCTAGCCATTGGCAAGGCCAGCAGGTACCAGCTGTGCTGAAATGCCCTGTGGGACTCTCAGTGCAGCCGGAAAGGCACACCCATGCTAGCCTTAACCTAACCAATACTAACGAAAACACAGCAGCTCAGACTTCAGCAGTGACTGCACGAGCCCACTGAAGCCATCCATGCTGAAGCCCATGCCCCTGCATCCTCACTACTAAGGCTACCCCAGCCAGCTAAATGAACAACAACTGGGGGATGCTCACTTCTGCTGCAATCATACCTCTGATTGCACCTCCAAGATACCAAGTACCAGCTGCTTTTCACAGATCCCCAAGGACTTCCGAAACGGTGCATGCACCAGGAACAAAGCACAGGCATGTTGTTGGAAGCATGTCTTGAGTTTCCCTTTGAGTAGGATTGAAATCTTTTGTTTTCCATGACCATGATCACACCAGGCCCAGCAGGGATTGACCTGTGCCAACATGGAACCACCCTTGGGCTCCCACACCCACATTCTTACTATGTAAAAGGCTAATCCCTTTCACAGTTCAGCTCCATCTATCTCAACGCAGGAGCTGGTCACAGGAACTGGTCTCCAACAAGAGGCAGGAGCCTTGGGTGTTTTCCAAAACTGGAAATATAGGCACAAGCATTGTGAATTCTCTCAAAATCCTACTTTTGGGGCCAAATCTCATTTTTATTCTGGCTTGGGGGCCGGATTTTCCACCTTCCCTTCCAATTAGTTGCCTTAATCACATGGTGGGATTCTGAAATTGAGGCGCAGACAAATTTGAACATTTCCTATTCTCACAAAAAAAAAAATTAAATGCCAATATTTTCTGGAAGAAAAATTTAAAAGAAAAAATAGCTTTCCCCTCTGGTCCCTCACAGCTTTGGCACTGAACCACCTCAAGAACCCTCCCCACAGCCAGGCTCCACATGTCTATGCACTGCTGTCTCCAACCACCTTCTCACCAGTATCCTGTATCTTCAAAAACTTTTTATTTAAAAAAAAAAAAAACAACCCACTTTCCAAGTCCTCAACACTTCACACTCCCACCACCATCCCTAGGCCAACCCACAGCCAGATCCCTTCCCCCCTGCCAGGCTAGAGGGGACAGGAGCTCACCCCTGTTCATTCCTGCCCCTTTGCTGCCAGGCATGCTCAGCAGGTATGACAAACACAGCTCTAAGTTTGCCTCATATAAGGGACTAGACATTAGCTGCATTAAGGAACAGCCCTTTGGCAAAGGGCTGCAGGGGCCAGAGGTGTCAGTCCAGAGGCAAGATGCATTGCTCCTTGCCTTCCCTGGACTCCTGTCAGATCCTGGGGGCAGGGAAGGGCAGAAGCCAGCACTTGGGCACAGCAAGGCCATTATACCATCAGTGATAGAGGTAAGATCCTGCAGGATTAGGATCAGGCACTGGGAGAGACTCAAAAACTGGTCTCCTGCTTTAAAAGGCCCTTCATCTCCCCATCTTCCTGCTGCTCTCACCTTACCTCAGGAGGAAGGCAGATGGGTCGGGGTGTGCTACACTCCAAGCAGCGTAGGAGCAGCTGCTCCTGACACTGTCCAGATGTCATCGATCCAAGTGAAGGAGATGGGTCACAGGGAGTGTGGGCAAGGGCAGCTCTCAGGGGAGCATGGGGACAGCTGCTTTCCAAGGCAGATGAGCCAGTCTTCTGTGCCAAACAGGCCTGGAGACTGCCGTGGAAATGACTGTCACTAGTTCCATTTTCAAGACTCCAATGGTGCTAGTACCTGCATGGGCCCAGCTTCCCAAGCCAGTCTTGCTCTCCCCAGGACAGGGCCTGGTTGCAGAATGAGGAACCACATAGAAGAAACTGCTGCTGCAGCAAATGAAACCATGGACTGAGTTTGGTTTCCCTTCCCCTCCCCCTGCAAGTGGAGTGACTGCAAGTCCCCTTCCCTGCTCACGAGTCCAACTTGATGAAGACCTTGGGTCGGGAGAAGATTTTGAGGGCCTCTTCGATCTGCGACAGCTTCTTCTCCAGCTCTGACCGCCTCCTCTGGACACCAAGGGTGTCAGCCCGCACTGGCAGCATCACCAAGTCCTTGGTCAGCTGTGCCTGAGCTGTGGAGGAAGGGAACACATAAGAGGGGACATAGAGAGTCTCTTCCACCTTAACACTAATGGCTCGCTTTAATTACGAAGGACCTGGGGTGAGAGCAATGGTGAACAAGGCATTATCCACACAGGGGCAGGCCTGATCCAGCAGCATCCTGGGCTCACACAAAGTCCGCTGTAACTAGGAGTGACAGCACATCGGAGCAGGGAGAGGCTAGGCCCTCATTAAGAGGGACAGCAGCCCTGACCTATTACTCCAGAAAGTTCTTACTCTGGAAGATCAGAGCTCAAGAGAGCAACTTGGCAAGATAAGGGTTAAAGGGGAAGGAGATGGGAGTCCAACCCTAGAGAAGCCAACTCTCGAGTGACGAGCACAAAAATGGCCCTGTGTTGCCAGCCATGCCTCTGCATAAAGGCACCAAAGGCCATCTCTAAGGCTGAACTGGTATTTCTCTTCCCCCTTACTCTGCTTCAGGTTCCCAAGGGTCTCCAGCCGCTGGCTCTCTGGCATCATGGTGTGGCCAGGAGGCAGGTCAGGGTCTGGCAGGTTTCGCAGCCGTTCCTCTGTCTCTCTGCGCCACAGATCCTTCCTCTGCAGCAGGCTGCCAGGGTCAAACAAGAGCAAAGGTCAGCACATGCAGCTCAAGGAGAAATCCGGACAGTACAATAGACATACAATGGGCAGGAAAGAACACCCTGGCCAGAGAGAGCAGGACAGGGCCAGGTGGGCTCATAGGGACAGTCCCAGCCACAGACATTCTCAGCAGTACTTCATTTTCCCGAATGGCAAGTGCCCGGCAGCTCTGGAGACTAATATTCTCCCCTCACAGATGTGTGCAGATTCCTACCTACCAGCAATCAGCACTGCCCTGGCCAAGGAAGGGACTGCTCTGGGCCAATCTCCCCTGTACAACCAGACCTTAGCTTCTGGGCTAAAAGCACCAATGAATGTGCACCAAGGCCATGGCAACTTCTGCGATAACTAGGACCTAAACTGAGGCAGCCCCCACAATGGACACCACGCAGAGAATGGATATCAAGGGCCTGGGCTAGATCTGAACCAGGACTTGGGAGGCAAAAGGCACTGCAGGCTATGCCCAACTCTCCCAACCCCAAGCCATCCGGCTCTTGCACACACTTGAGGCACAAATGATTTTAAAGAAAAACTGCCAGAGCCACTGAGAGGAAAGGAGGCAGTGAGAGCATGGGAGTAGCTCTGCTCAGCCCAAGCAGTTCACCACTTGAGAACTGCCTCTGGGAACCTCTAAATGCTTAAAGGAGCAAACAATGCCTCAGCTCCCAAGTTATTTCAGTCCTACTCTCAAGTGACTTACATGCTTCAGAGCCTAGCCATGAGTCAACAGAACTCAACTCCTAAGCCCTTGGTACCACTTGGAATTTGTGTTTAAGTACTTCCACGTCAACAGGAACTACCAATAATCTGCCCCTCTGAAAGGCAGGCCTTTAGCCCAGAAGCTATGATGTGTGGCGCAATCAGGCCACAGGACAGGCCATATCCCACAGCAGGGAAGCAGTCATTTCTTTAGAGCAGGCCAGTTACTGCTTTATACCTTCTGGGTGCAGTACCAGAGGAGCTGGGCTTATTTGTGACAGAGGCTCTAGTGGACAGGCAGACATGTACGTACTAGCGGGGGACATGGCCCTTCTGCTTGCTGTTGTACTCCTCCTGCTCCCGCCGCTTCTGCTCCAGCACCTCAGTCAATGACTGCAGAGAGCGAGAGCGCCGCATCTGAGCCCGCTTGGCATTCTGGGCATTGTGGCTGACAAAGTCGATGCTTGTGCCTTCCACCTGGATCTAAAAGGAATGGGGGTGGAGGGAGCATGAAGCAGCAGGGAACAGGCAGATAGATGCCCAGAGACACTAATCCCAGGCCCTGACAAGGTGTTTCACCTTGGAAATTCAGGTACTTTCAGGGCTTGCAAATTCTGTAGCACCTAGAGAAGCAGTGACATGAGAACCCCACAAGAGCCAGCTCCAGAGAGGAAAGGATTGTAATTGAAGGACTGCAACCTTCAACCCCATTAGTGTTAACACTGATTAACTCTACCAACTACTCAGCTCTCTGAAGACAGGACATCTTCATACAGCATAAGCACCACTGCCCGTCCTTTTCATTCTAAGTTCTTAATATGCAATACACTGGTAAATCTGTGAGGTCTCTGACAAAGCCCAAGAAAGACACCCCTAAGAGCTCTGAGACAGGAAACATGAGGTCTAAAAAGAAAACTTTGTGGCTTCTTTATCCCTCAAGGAGAGAAGAGCCACATGGAGGGTGTTAGGAAACCCTTGAGTTCAGTTTCCCTGTCACCTGCCAGATCCTACCTGCCCTTCTGAGCCAGCAGGCAATCTAAACAGAACTCTCTGTTTTGACAGATCATTAACTCAATGTCTTGAGGGCAGAATCCAGGTACAGTGATGAGCAGAAGTAACTCCTGAGTCCAGAGGAACGTGAAATCAGATAAGTCAGCCCCCACCGTGCCCTACCTGGGTGTCCATGCTCTGTGCTCCTGGAGCCTCAGTGCCCATCACAGCTCTCGTTTTGGAAGGGCTTGGGGAAAGCGACCGGCGTGGTTGGATTCCTGAGCCACAGCGGGAATATGCCCTCAGGAATTTTTGAGACTCTGGGTTGGGAGGGGGAGAGTTCTCCTGAGAATGGCAAAATTAGGGGGAAAGATTGAATGGAAAACCACTCAGTGCAGCCACTGAGAGCCTAGAATCAGCCAGGAGTTCCCAGCAGACAAATGACCGTGATCTTTGCTGCTGCTACACATGTCAAGAGAAGACCCCCAACGGGGACTACAGTCAGCAGAGACTGGCCCAGATCTTGCTCAATGGAGCACTGATGTAAATCTGGATTAGACCACTGAATTCCACAGAGCAACACTCAAGTCAGGAACAAACTAGCAGGCAGCTAAGACAGTGCAACTGTCCAGGCCCTCCAGCCAGGCCTACATCTCAAGCTGTAACCTGCTGGGGGAGGGGATTAAAAGGACTGTTAAAAAGGCACAAGGAATCTAGGAGATGCAGGATTTCCTGCACTACAAGGTGTCAGTAACACAGTCACACTGGTGGGCCGTTTGACCTTTTAACCCATAAGGATGAGTGACACAGCATGCAAAGTGCAAAAGCAGAACCTTTGCTCAATGCATCAAGTGATCCAGTCTGGCCCCTGAGCAAATCACTCTGGAAAGCTGGCTGGATGCAGCTTGTTAAAATGCAAGAGCTCTTGTGACTAGAGAGAACCTCAAAGAAGTACATACATCTGGGCAACAGAAGGGCCAGCACTGGAGTAGGTGTTTGCCAGGTGGTAATGATGCTATTACTCTTGTCATGTAACACCACTGAAGTCCCTGCCCTCTGCATCCCACCAGGAGTTGCTGCAACAGCAGTATCTGATTCTGTCCCAATAGACGTAGTACAGGAAAATGATGGGACCCTCCTTTTCCCTAGTTCTGTGTAGTGACTAGACTGGGGTGGGCAAAATACAGCCCACCAGGCCATTCAATCCAGGCCACAGGACCCCTAAAAAATTTAGAAAATATTTATCTGCTCCTGTTTGTTTGTCAAAGACGACAGGAGCCAAGGGCAGTAGGACCCAGGGGGAGTCAGCAGCAGGAGGTAGAAGCCCAGACCTGCCCCCCCCCAGCCGTTTCACCTGCCTTCTTGCCCCCCCACTGCTCCAGCACCATATGGCTCCCCACTGAATTCCTGACCAAGAGCATGGGGCTGCGCCGGTGGGTGTGTGTGTTCATAGGATGAGTCCCACACCCAACCATACACATGCACCCACACTCCCCCCGCACTGCTATACATGCAGATTCCCACACCCACACCCTTTCACACACCCTAGCCACCCTCCCCCCATGCACAGGACCCCCACAAACCCCATACCCACCCACACCCCACATATCTGCACCCCCACATGCTTCCTCACCCCATACCAGCACCCCCACACCTAGCCACCCCCCGCACAGACACACCCACACTCTCCCCTACACCCTACAAACCTATACCCACCCCCTCCCCCACAACATATAAGAGTAAGACTTCATTTTAAGCTATTATATAAAACCACCTCTATGTGCGCTACAGAAATGCATGTAAACCAGGACAAAATATTCTTTGAAATCACATTAACGAATGTTTTAGTTGTTCGCTCTTTAGAATGTAATTTGGTATTTTTCTGGTTCCGAGATGGCAAAACCCCCTGCTGAAAGGATTACTTCTGGAGGCAAGGGGAGGAACTTTTGGGGGCAAAGATCAGGGGTTAGGGTGCAGGACTTCCAGTCCCAAGATGGTGACCAGGGGGAAGGACACCTGTCAAGGCCCTCGGCAGCTTGCCAAAAATCGGTAAGCGGCCCTCCACCCGAAATAACTGCCTGCCCCTGGACTGGACTCCCTTACTGTCACAATGGGGCTTTCCTTTACATGCCAGGCTGGTGCGTTCAGGAATCTCCATTCTCCTTGTCTAAGTTAGGTTCTCCTGTCCATGACATGGCTCTGCTCTCAGACCTGAGGCTGGAAAAAATCACTGTCCCTTGCGCAGGAAGTGGGATGCTGGAGCACTGACTGGCTCTACGATTCCTGGCCTCAAAGGTGAAGTTCAAAACCACCAGGGTTCTCCCTGCAAACAGATGTCCTCCACTGCTCTGCACAGCATCTACATAACATACTGACTGGTCCATACCCTCCCAAGGCAAAGGGATATCATAGGCTAGAGACTGCAGCAGGCAGGTACCTGTATCTTGGCCTTCACCTTGGACCCCACATTCTCATACTTCTGAGACTTCCATAAGGCTTTCACAGGCTGAGGTCGGCTGTGCTCCCTGGCCAACTCTTTCTCTTTGCATTTCTTCTGGATCTCCCGTATCCGCCTCACATTCTCCTTCTCATAGTTCTTGGACTCCTTTCCTGCACATCAAGGGGAGACACAGCTTCTGCCCTCGTAATGTACAGCAAACCTGAGATGTCACCAACAGATGCAGAACCCAGGACCTTCAGTATCAGAGATGGGGGTCTCTACTACCCAAGTCACTAACAGCAGCTTCTTCCCTCTTAACTTCCCTGTGTGCCAGGCACATAATAGAATCATATTTTGTATGGATACCCCATGTGGCTGGTACTTGCAGCTGCACAAACAAGCACAGGAGGATGTGCCCCTACACAGTACTAGTAACAAAAGAATTGTCCTCTCTCAGGAAAACATGGGATTGGTTATAATCCTCACTGCCCTGGTTGGGATTGTGCCAGACCAAGCGACACACCATCTGCCTGTTCTGGTCTCCACTGTCAGATAATCTTGAGGGCTGGCTGCATCAGTGCTCCAGGTCAGTGTCAGACAGCATGCACCACCCTAACACCAACACCACCTCATAGCAAAGGGAAAAGGTACCAGTTGCTCCTATTCTAGGGACAAAGGGAGCAATAAGCCTTTCACACACTGGGGGTGGTAGTGGCTGGCATGCTTGCCCTGCACAGACTTAGGAACCTGAGTCCATGTGTCCATGCTGGCCATGGGCTTACCTCTCCCAGCCTCTACAGATTTTACATACCATCACCTACAACTGCTCAATCATACTTACTTTTGGGGGGTGATTCCTTGTCAAGGAAAATCCCCTCCAGCTGCAGCAGCACCCCAACTGTCCCCTTCTGCCCCTTCGCCAGGATGTCCTCACCACTGGGGCGGATGCGCGGGGCAGGCTGAGCAGGGCGTGCACTGTAGCAGGTGGGGTATAAGCTGGGATCTGAGGCCAGGGGACCAGACACAAAGTCCAGCTTCAGAGCATTCCCTTCCAACCTCCCTCGAGCTATGAAAGACAACAACAAAATCAAGATACGCAAGGAGCAATGCTGCCTCCCTCATGTTTGGGGAAGCTAGAAACATTCAAGCAATTGCTGCCTCCTCCACCCACTTTCCAGTCACCACTGGAGTCCCCTTCTACTCAGCACATCAATCTGCTCAGCATCCAGCCCTTCCCATCAGAGGCCCTTGCAGAGCACATCAAAACTGTTCCCCACCCTGTGGAGCTGAGTCTTCATGAAACTCCCTGCCCTGGGGGCTCACACAGTAGTGACTGGGTGCAGCCACAAAGAAAAGCATGAGGCTGTTAAAAAGCCACTGACCTGACCCCTGAGGTGGCTCTAACGTCTACAGTATAACGCAAGGCTAGAGGAGGGTGATCTGTTAAAGTACAAAATGCCCTATGACTATGTAGTATGTCTGATCCCTGTTCTGCAGTGCCTCCACCCTGGGACTTACCTGACAGGGGGCATTTGTAATAGTCCCGTAAAAGTGTGGGGTCAGGAGGGATAGGACCAGTGATCCTGGAAGGCCCTTCACACATCTTGGCTTTGGCTCTGCTGCTGCAATAGACAAACCCAAATCATTAGGAACAGAAGCCGCTTGGGCACAGGAGGTCCTTTCCATCCATAGTTATTTAAAATCCTTCTGCACTTCTACCCTTCACTGAAGAAATCACACCTGGAATTGGGGGATCGAAATACAACTGTCACACAAACAGCCCCAAGTGGAAGCCCCCCTGTGCACTGACTGACCAGAACCTGCCCAAAGCTGACTAAAGTGCCCATGCTTGTTGTTGCATGTCCCCTACCCAAAGCCTCTTTGCTGGCTCTGTCTGCTCTAGAAGGAAGGCTGAGAACAAGCGGTTCTGCTCTGAAGAGTGACATCAAGAATAGCCTTACCCAGAGATCCACCTTACCCAAAGATCCATGCTGCAGTCATTGACATGAGCACAGGCTGAGACCCACCCCAATGCTTGTGTCAGCCACCTCTAGCAGCTCTAAGGAGTCTCCTTTCAGCCATGGCTCATGCCACTGCCCAGGCCTTGAGCTCATCTGCCCCTAGAGCTATTCAGGAACAGCTCCATGTGAGAATACTAAGAGCATCCACTCTCAAAGCTGCTTCTGAGAAGTTACCACACTCCACAAGTAAACACAGCCTTGTACCACATTGGTCTCTAAATGCAGACAAGTCCTTATGCTGACAGCACTTGTGCCCCTGCAGCACCCTGGGAAGGTTCCACCATAGCCAAATCCTCCACTACTCCTGCCAACCTTCTGGGCTGGACCAATTCTCCACCACTAGGACTGCCCAGGAATAGCTCAGAGCCAGCACCTTCTTTCATGGAATGCAGCACTAGAAGGAAAGAGCCCAGCAGGGCCCTCAAAGGACTGGGCAAGGCTGGCCAGTTAAGAAAATAAGTTGTGAATGTCTAAATTAGGCAGATCTGATGCAGAGAAAGTGCAAACCCATAATGCCATATATACAGCCCCCTCCTCAAAGCAGCCCCTCATTTTGGACCCTGCCTTGCCCTTAGACTGCTTCGGCAACATCCCCATTCCCCAAGGAGACCCCAGAATGACCCCAGATCCCCAACACGAGTCCATCCAAAGTCCATGCCATAAGGGAGCCAGGCAGTATCTTCAGCCCTGACTGAGCTCAGACCTCTGCCCTGATCAACTGGCTAGGGAATCTGTTTGCTCTTTCACTGCAACTCAGCCTTCCCTCAGAAAATAAAGATCAAGAAATGCTGGGGCAGGCTCCAAGGATAGCTGAGAAGAATCAACACCTTGTGACACTGGGCAAGAGCTGCAGGTGCTCAGCTGGCATCCCCTTTGGCATCAGTTCCTACCCATGAGCAGGATCCCTGACCAGCAAAGGTGACTTTATACTAGCACCTCCAGCCAGATCCCCAGCAGACAGGAGGCAGGGCAATCTCAATGTACTCTAGGGACAGACTGGATCCCCAGCTCAAATTACAAGCCAATGTATTATTGATCTGGAGGAAGGGATAAAATAGCCTGTGATGACATCAGCTAATCCGCCTTAGCCTCCCTTGTCACAGCCATGCAGGTACAGCTCCAAAATTAGTTCCATTAGCGGAGGGCTAAGTATTTAGTCCCCAGGGCTAATTGCACAGGCCATAAAACAGTAGTGACAGTCACGTGCTGAATAAGAGCTTGTCAGCCAACTGAGCAATTCCAGAAGAGTGGCTCCTAAATGATCCCCAGGTGGGCACTGGGAGGCGTTGTCTGCACTCGCCTGCCTCTGCTGGTAGAGCTGCCCAGCACGTGACACCACACAGCTCCACTGCAGCAGCTGCTGTTCATGCTCTACTGGCACAGAGTGGAAAGAAACCAGCTGTCAAAGGGGGAGCAGCTGGGCATATCCTCATGCTCCTTTGGCAGTTGCTAGAAGGCAAAAGCCTTGCTCTGCTTGGCAGAGCTGATGTCATTCTGCAGGCAGAAGGAGGGTTCATTTTGCCCTGGAGGAGCTGTGGGTAAGAATATACTCAGAGCTTTGTCAGCCAAGCTCTGCAGCGTGGACAAGGCCCTCACATGCTTTAGCTCTGGCTTACATGAACCCACTTTCACAGCAGACCCAACAGAATAGCCCAAACAAGCTATGCTCTGGAACTGTAACTTCATATGCTACCTTCATCCAAACTGGCTTCCAATGGCAGAAGAGTCCAAAGAATGCCTCTACCCCTTGGGGTGCGAAACAGGGATGTTTGCAGCAAAACTTGCATGAGGGTATTAAAGGGGAAGGTAACGCAAGGTGTGGGGAGTGGGGTGCTTCCTTTCACACTCTTCAGTAGCTGTCTTTCCTGCTATGACAGCTCCAAGCCTCCTGCCCAGAATATCCTGTACACACCCTGACCTGCCACTTACATTGCTTGAGGATTTGGGTCCATTTCTACATGGCTCCTCTGAGGAGGAGGGGGCCGTATCCCAAGTCATGATCTTGCCTCCTTAGACCTCAGAAATGCTACAAAACATTGCTATGGGATCTGTCTTTGTATCAGCTCAATCCTACTAAGCCCAGGTGTTGTCACACAGCCCTGTTGCATTCGGAGACACCAAAGGATCAGGCTGGAGTTTCCATGCTGCTGCACATCCCGTTCTTGGACAGCCCAACTGAGAAGTACCTATCTGTCACCATACTGGAGCATAAAATGTGACAAACTCCTGACCAGCCCCAAATACACCTGCAAGTGAGAGACTATTTAGCGCCTCCGTGCACTCAAGGTTTCAGGATGCAAAGCTGCTTCCACACTAAACCCTGCTGACAGAGGGGCTGAACACAAAATGGCGGGTTTGGCCCCGAATTAACCCAGTGCTGGCAAATTGGATCAGCTGGGGAAGCAGAGCTTTTGGCACACAACTCTGGTGCTGCACCCTCAGCCCAGGCATGCTTCCTTTCTTCCCTGCTGAGCACATGCTCTCAAACTCTGAAAGACAGGCGGCCCAAGTTACTCTATTGGCAACTGAGTTATTTCAGCACTCTGCTTTCAAGCCATTTAGACCTTGCCAGCTAGGCTCGATTTACACGCATCTTCTTGAAAACGTTGGGTTCCTCCTGGCCCCTCACTTCCCCCACTTTGGAACCAGGGTTCGACTCCCAGCCAATGAAGTAGGACTGGGAATCAGGACACACAGGTTCATTGCTGCTCTATGACCTTGGGCGAATTGATGCCTCTCCCTGTGCCCGAGTCCCCATCAGTAAAATGTGATATTGCTATTTATCTGTTTTTCCAAGGTGACTGAAGACCCACATATACTATGTGAGCACAAAGGAGTCTTATTTTTCTGCAGTTAGGGCCCAGATTCGCCCAAGCAAACACCACTGCATGCAAGAGAGCTTTGTTGGGTGCATTCTCACAGGGCAGGCAAAATCTAGGCCTGTGGTATTTGACCTCTCAATGCAAGGTCACAGCTTTGAACTATTCAGGTTCTCCCCAAAGATAGCTGTGTGCGCAGAGGCAAAGCCAGTCTCTCACCAGTACCAGCTAAACCCTGAGGAAACAAACCACATTGATTGAGAAAAATTTGTCACAGAGATTAACCCAAAAGAACAATGAGCAGCAATATATTTAAAGCCTATTCTGAGAGTCATAATACAGTGAGATTTAGAAGCCGAGTTTGCCCCGAGGTGATTGCTGTAATTCAATTGAAGTGTTGTGATAAAGGAAACAGGGCCTCCAGAGCGAACTAGTAAAAGCCCCTTTCAGATCCTTTCCCTTTATATTCTCTCTTGATAGAATTGAATTAGATGGAAAGCTTATTACAACAGAGCAATAGTGGGAAAACACAGTGGCAACCAACCACGCTGTGCAATAGCCCTCCAAAAAACGCAAGACGACTTCCCTTGCTTGAAGAAGACGGCAGCTGGCAGATCAGGGAGAAAGCAGCAAGAGAGTGCCTCTTCCAGCTGCTGATACCCACAGGAAGATGCACCTCTTTCAACGATCTGGGGTAAGAGCACTGTACATCAGAGTTATGCTCCCATTTTTGTGAAAGGTTGAAATGCTTCCAATTTCAATGCCAGCAGGAGCAACCCCACCCCATCAGAAAGCAGGTCTGGGTGAGCTTAATCTGAAGGAATCTGGGCCACTGCATGAAAAAGCACTTAGCAGGAAGAAGGGCAATGCAATGGCAGAATATTTCCCCTACTGATGGCTGCTTTGCCTGCCCCTTCAGTATCCAAGTTACACCTGATGAGTAACGTATTGTGTTGTTCAAGCCCCCAAGGAACGCACCTTAATGTGTACATTCCCCTTGGCCCACACTGCAGATAGGAACAGGATAGACTGACACTCTCCATGGGTCCCAAAGCAAATGAGAACCTCCTGGTAGCCACAGAGACTGCAAACCATATTCTGTTCCCAGAGGGTCTCCTCTGCCTTGCCCTCAAACATCAGCCTTCAAGGCCTGTTTACTCTTCTGCCTCTCTGCTGACAGAGGGGCCAATTAACACCAGTTATGCTGGTGACTTGTGTGTTCAGGTCATCTTTTCCCTATACACTGGGCTGGCCTTCACACACAAACTGTTAGGAGCAAAGGTAGCTCATATGCTCTTTCCAAGAGGCAGAAATAATACCCTTCAGCAATAGCCCAGAACACAAGGCAAATGGGACTTTCATCTGCATGGGATACCAGGCAGGGACCAAGACCGATACCTGTTTAAAGAGAGGGTGAGGATGTAGGTGTGACCTTCCTAACGCTCCAAGGACAAGGGAGTTGCGTGTTCCTGGGCCAGAACAGGCAGAACAGCACAGCACAGGCTTGGCCACAGCATAGCAAGCAGCCTCCCTCTGCTCTGCCCCAAGGATCCTTCCCATGCAGAGATTGTGGGACCCAGCATACAGCTCTCCACTAGATCAGATGAAGACAAAGCAGGTGTTGGAATCTGTAGCATCTGTCCACTGGCCACATCTCAAACAGAAATGAGGGGAGGGGTTGGCCTTTTGTGGGTTCCCATTGCAGCTCCCCACTGAGGACCAAAGATAGCATTTCTCAGGGCCCTTTTATCTCACAGACAATGAAAGGAAGGAAGCAGCCAGAGGATTCAACCTCTGGAGCATCGTTCACAGCCTAAATGACTAGCACTTGTCCCATGCAGCTCAGACAAGCTGGAGATTACACAGGTATGATTATCTCCACTCCAGACATTCAGGGTGCAAGGAACGTACATCTACTGAAGTCCTGAAAGGCTAAAACCCTGCCACTGGAGAGATCAGCCAGATGCCCTACACCAGGGTCAAACATGGCCCATGGGCCGGATCTGGCCCATGGAGCCACAAAAGATTCAGCCTGCGAGTCTCCAATTAACCCTGCATGCAGCACATGGAGCCGGTCCAGTGTGAGGGATAGATCCAACACTGCAGGCACTGTTTGCAGCACAGGGGGTCAGTTCAGGGCATAAGCTGTATGAGGTATCCATGCTGGACCAACCCTGTGCACTAGCTTTGGGACCAGTCTGGATCAGGTTGTGCTGGAGCCAGCAGGATAGGCTATTCAGCAGGGCACCACATGCAGCTCAAGCCCTGTGCTAGCCCCCAGCGCAAGGAGCAGCGCCCATGGCACTGGGTCTAGCCCATACACCATATGCCAGCCCCACTCCAAGGACTGTGTTACCTCTGGTGAGCCAGGCAGACAGCACCAGAGGTACTGCTTGCCACACAGAGCTGGTATGGGGCATGTACTGCACACAGCCCTGCACACAGATAGCCTGGGGCCCAATCCTGATTAGCCTCAGAGCCAGAGTTCAGGGCCAGTCCACTGGGATGCAGCTTTATACCATGAGCCAGCCCCCAAGGCAACAGGCAGCACCCACAGTGCCTGATCCAGCCCATGTACAGCCTCCAGCAGCATAACCCCTGGAGCAAGACTAACTGACACTACCTACAATACAAGGGCTGCTCCAGCACAGGGAACGTGCTGCATGTGACACCCCGCCAGACCAGTCCTGCCCACTGGCTCCATACTGCTAGATCTAGCACAGACCAGCCCAGGCCCAACTGGGCAGGTTAAGTGTAATTAGGTTGCAATCTGTCCCTGAGACTGAACTCTTAGCCAAGTACCAGCACTGCCACAATGCCCCTGGGGTGTTCCAGCAAACTGCATTAGAAACATTTAGTTGCTTCAACTAACCTCTGAGGCTTCCTCTACAAGGCTCAGAGTTCATGAACAACCCAACAGGCCCACAGCTGCACTGGCCAGCTAAAACCAGGAGGAACCAGCTATACATTTTCACATGACCGTTTGATGCAAGTGAAAACCGAGCAGACATTCATACTTGCCCTCTCCCAGCACCAGGCGCTAGTGGATTCCTAAGGTACAACTGCTCACTGGTACAGGATCTCTACCCACCAATATCCACCACCTTTCCAAAACACCCAGAAGCTGGGGAATCTAACCACTCCTGCCCATAAAGATCCTATTTCATCCTTTGAAGGTCGGATGCTAGCCCCAGCTCTAGTCACAGTCTCTGCTGTTCCAGGCTCTCTGCCGGGCCCGGCCCTGTGCAATTTCACTTCCTGCCCTCAACTGGTGCTGTCAAATAGCTGCCCTAAACTGCCCCATTTCAGCATTATGCTCCCTGCTGCTGTCTGTGCAGTGCTTTGAGGTGCTGGCAGAGGACAGATGCTGTAAAAACCGAAGCTGTCTCCACTCTGTTGTGCTGCTCCCCGGGCTGCAGCACCTACAGGAGTCACGGCACGCTTCTGAATGCCAGGAGGGAGCCAGGGAGAGGCAGCCGCAAGCACAGCCAGGGCGGCTCCCCCAGCCTTTCTCCTTTAATTACTGTATAACACGCTGCTCAGCTCAGCCTCCGCTTCCCGCCGCCTTTGCCGCTGCCC